GGGGCGGAGTGATCTCAGCGCCAAGGGAGCCCAGCGCTGGAGAAAGGTAAGTGCTTAAGACACACACACACTCTCACGAACAGACGCATACACACTAGCTAACAGACACACACATTTACTGACAGACACACACTCAGTGACAGACACACACTCACTTACAAAACACACACTCACTAACAGACACACGCACACTAACATGCACACTAACACACACACTCTAACACACACACACACTAACACACACACACTCTAACACTAACACACACACACTAACACACACACAAACACACTCTAACACACACACACTAACACACACATACACACTAACACACACACACTGTCAGATACACACACACATAGCCAGAAAAAAATCCACACATATAGCTAGATAAACACACACATATAGCCAGATGTACTGACTCAGACCCAAGTATACACACATATATCAATTTACATCATATTTTAGCCATCCTCCTGTCTCTTTACCTTTTGGGTACAGAAGGCTGGCTTCCCTGGGGTCCAGTGGGAGCTGGATGGCCAAGGTTGATGGGAGTCTGACTTCCTCAGTCTCTCCCCTCCTCCTGTGTATGCCTCTTCCACCTCCCCAGCGGCACTCTGTTACTTGGGAGGAAGTGATCTCACCTCACTTCCTCCCACCAGGCAACATGAAAGGGTCCCAGTCCGGAGTAATCTTAAAGGGTTGGGGGCCCCTGATTACATCTACTAACAAGCTACTTTGGGCCCCCCAGGAGTAACTGGGCCTGGGGCAACTGACCCTTTTGCCCCATTTTAAAGACAGCCCTGACACACACACACAGATACACAGACATACATTCAGACACACGGTTTTCCTATGTGAAGCTATCCCAATATGGATGTGTGCAGTGCTCGCCATACATGGGCCTCAGCTTACAATGCTCCTTTATGTGGCTCATTGGATTGGATATTAACTCGCGAGTGGGATGACGTCATGGGAGGTGGGTCAGCTGGCAGTGTCTAAAGAGTCTCGCACTGGAGTAAAAATCTTTAAGTAAAGTAAAAACATTTTCACTGGAAATGGGGGAGAGAGGACCTAAAACAAACCTTGAAATAGGGCACAATAGCATTAGGAATACTGATTTGTATTCCTCATGCTATAGTGCTCCTTTCATCCATCAGTCAGATATAAGAAAATGGTGCTGGGAGGTTCATTATGATAATGCCCCATGGAAGAGAATGCTATAAAGTAAAATACTCATTCACACTATATGAAGTTAAAGCAAGACACACTTGACACTTACAAAAAATGCAGTATATAAACAGAATTTGGAAAATAATTTTGTAATGAGAAAAAAAATGATAAATCCTCTTTATTATAAATGGGGTCACGGGTAAGGTTCTGTTGGTATGTTCCCCAACTTTACATCTATATTCGTACAGCATAACGTCAAGAAAATATAATGGGTTGTAAACTCTTGAAGCAGACTGTTAAATGTAAAGCATTTTGCAAGCTTTGTATTAAATCCAAATAAAGTTTATACCCAATGTATCATTTCTGGAGGGATCCCAGAAGTCCCACGAGCTATTGGAGTTGGACCCACTGGGTGAATTTGGTCTTCGAGTGAGTTCCTTCAACTAAATACATACTCTACAAACACATTAAACAGAATGAGTTCTGTATTTTTGTTACATTTTGTTGTCATTAAATAAGCAAGACTTATTTGTGGCTAGATTGGTTTATGGTTCTCTAAGCTTTAAATTTGTGTTTTTGTGGCCATCTTCTCATTAGTCCATCTCATTTTCTTTTTATTGAGTTCTTTTAAGCTAGTGTTTCTGTTCTTGAAAAACAGGTAATCAGGAACAGTCTTCCCAAAATTTCCCTCTTGTGTGATCAGGTTATTGTCTCTTTCTTCCTCTTTGTGGTTTGTACTGGTCCTGTCTACGACTCTTTCACCATGTAGCCTATCTTCCTGCTTCCTCTTGAATGCTTCTCTCACTACTGATGGAGGTTCGTCCACCTGAAGTTTTGCCGCATATTGCATGTCTTGTTCATATACTCCTAGACTGTGGCATCCCTCATCTTCCTCATCCTGAGATGAGTTTTCCTTTATGCTCTCCCCATCGGATTGGCATGGCGCTTTCTTTAATCTTCTTTTATTAGAGAGGTCAAAGGGTTCTTTCTGTTCCGTGCTGCGTAGTACAATAGAGTGGGATAGTCCTGTCCTTCCTCTCCCCAAACCTAAATTTAAAGTCAAAGGGCATTTTTGTGATTTACTGTGACACTGATAAATTACCTTAATTACCTTTCACAAACATTTAAACATTGTCTCACAAAATATAAACATAATATTTAAAAAAGAACATTAAATTTTGACATACTAAGTTCATGTAAGCACAGTTATTGTACTTTTCTCAGATATAAACATATTTGAAAAAAAAATATTTTAAAGGTTGTAAAACTGCCCTGTTTATACCATATTGCTCCCAAACTGTTTTCAGACAAACATGTGACAGCACCCACAGCCTATTTACTCATGAGTAGTGATGTCCCGAACGGTTCGCCGAACGGTTCGCCGAACGGTTCGCCGAACGGTTCGCCGAACGGTTCGCCGAACGGTTCGACGAACGGTTCGCCACGAACGGTTCGCCACAGACTCATCATTGAGTAAACTTTGACCCTGTACCTCGCAGTCAGCAGACACATTCCAGCCAATCAGCAGCAGATCCTCCCTCCCACACCCTCCTACCTCCTGGACAGCATCCATTTTACGTTCATTGTGAAGCTGCATTCTTAGTGAGCTGTCCAGGAGGTGGGAGGGTCTGGGAGGGAGGGTCTGCTGCTGATTGGCTGGAATGTGTCTGCTGACTGTGAGGTACAGGGTCAAAGTTTACTCAATGATGAGTCCGTGGCGAACCATTCGCGAACCGTTCGCGAACCGTTCGGTGAACCGTTCGGGACATCACTACAAATGAGATATAGTTGCTATAATGCTTTTTTAGTCCCTTTAATTCAGCATAGTTTTTTTTGCTTTGCAAAATAATAACAACAAGTAATGATAACGCCTTGACAATGTTAGGATGTTCCATTAGTGGGCTTTAACCCCGTTAGGATGGCATTCAAAGTCCTGCAGATTGTGAACAGGGTTAAATCCATGCTTGTACCAGGTAGTCCCAGGTATTAATTGAATCCTGTGGCTCAGCCAGGACTATACTTAGTTGCCCCAGACTGACAGATGAGCTGTATGCAGCACTAAAAGTGAGCACTGCATAGAGCAGGCATAGGCAATCTTCGGTACTCCAGATGTTTTGGACTACACCTCCCATGATGCTCTGCCAGCACTTTGTAAAAGCATTATGGGGGATGTAGCACACAACATCTTCAATGCCGAAGGTTGCCTATACCTGGCATAGAGCAATGTTTATATACATTAAAATGACCAGGTCTGAGCAAAATCGGGCAACTTGTCCTTACTGTACCCTGTTCAGTTCTCTATTGGCACTTTGTATGAATATGGGCTCGTTTTTAACATTTTGAAAAAAATGTGTGTGTTTGTATGGACCTCTATGCACAGGTCTCAATTGCAGTGCTTTCTTGCAGTCCCATTAAAAGACCCAATAATTGGCAATATCCTTAGACTCTACCATTACTCCATGCACTGGAAGACTGCAATGGTGCGCTGCAAAGCAGGTGTCCAAGCCCTCTCTGTAAAACCATCAAATGTCATTCTTCCTCAGCCCAAAAGGAAACAGAGGGACGGTTCAAATATTTTTGAAATATAAGGGGAGGAATATCGAATTAGAAGAGATGGGGTCAGGGTGTGAGGAATGCGGTTGCCAGTGATCATACGCTTTGAAAACTCTAAGCTGGCATAATAATAATATACCTATTGCTTGTTAATGGAGACATTAAGATAAAAGTAAATACTTCTTACAGGCAACAACACTTACCTCGAGAGTGATATCCTCTTTCCATAACTCCGTGCTTGACCTTCAAATGTCTGGTGAGATTACCTTTCAAGGTGAATTTACTGGGACAATAGACACACTTGAAGGGCTTGCTGTCGGAGTGCAGGTGCATATGACCCATTAAATTGTGCATTCGGTTGAATTCCTTCCCACAGAGCTGAAAAAAGAACACATATGGCCACTTATTAAACACTTATTAAATCGTTCATTTTCATAGATTTTTGCTGTAGGAGGAAAATATTTCAGAGCAGAAATGCAACTATAAAATATTTCTCAACAGCGTAACCGTTTGTGTGTCAGAGGCATATAGCGAATATATAGTAGTTAATGCACTATGCAGCAAAGGGTCTGATAGACCTCCGTTTTATCCCACCTGTTTATGAGGAATTAACGTCTTAACTTGTCACCTTGCTACTGACCTGCTATGAATCTTATGGGATTCCATCCCCAGACACTTAGCCATGTCTGCTCAGATTTAACATCCGTCACTCAAATATCTAATAGCATTGATGGCCAATACAACACTCACTGCATGTGTCGAAACATCAATAAGGCTAATTTTGCAGTTTACACGTGAATTCCTCCTGAAGGAGTTACTTTTTAATATTTCATTAGGTAGGTAATGTTGTTGTGCTGATATTATTTTTGTACAGCCAAGTGGGATAGAATTTAGGGGGCAGATATATTCGAGCATTTCCATTCTATTGTCCTCAATATAAATATATCATAAATTTAGCTGATTTATGTTTGTAAGTGTATAAATAATTCAATATACCATAAAAAGTACTTGTATGTATTTTTTTACAGCAGCAACCAGGGAGACTTTTGATGTTTGGTGATTAGCAGAACAAATATGGCTACTGACCAAATAGGACCTAATGATGGCTGCCACCCACAAAGCAAGGATAAGAGCCTGGAGATTCGCTGAAAGGAGGTATTCACGTATATGTAAACATCTCAAATGAGTACACACTGCAGTTGTAATATATGTAATATTTTATTTTAAGTGATAATAAATGATGGCCATTTCCCTTTAACATGTCACCTGTGGTCTCATAACGTTTGTGTATTAATACGATCTGCTACGCCACAGAAGTCTTAGGGCTTTTTTTCTTTTTTTTTTTGTTATTTGTTTTAAGAAACAGGCAAGGAAATTTAAACCGCGCTTCAAAGGACCACTGCTGTGCTCTCTTCTCTCATATCCTTTTATATAAGGAGGGTGTTTCTTCCCTTCGAGAAGCAGAAAGAGAAAATGAGAATGACTGTAAAGTGTCCAAAAGGACCGTGAGAAAACAGGAAGCCTTCGAAAAGTACAAGAGAAAGCAAGATGAAATCTAATTGCAAAGCATTCCCTCGGGAGATGGAAAGTATTGTTATGAAGGCAGTTTCTGCAGTGATATCCTTCCTTCTCCCGAGGAGGAGCCGTATGCCAGAAAAGCTGCTATCTGGTCAATGCCTTAATCCTGCTGAATGAGATCCAAGAAAGCCAACACCTTCAAGATCCCTTTGACTTTGTTGCCATGTTGGCAGGGGGTACGTCAAAGTCAAAACACATTTCATTTGTTCTCACTTTATTATTTGAAGATGAAAGCAATGTAGCAAAATTCCAAATGTTTGACTTTAAATATTTACCAGACAAACGGACTAATATTGGTGGTGTCTGCTCCTGGAATTTGTTTTTCATAAGTCACTAGTGTTAAAGCTAACAACCCAAGTGGGATTACAGCGAATGTCGTCCTTAAGAAGTTAAAAGAAAAGGGGAATCCTTTGTGTTCCAGTTGACACTAAATTTCTCTCAGCTGCAGAAAGAATACAAACGTAATAACGCCCAAATAAATACTCCAACCACCAACAATAGGCCCTGGATGATCAGAAACACAGCACTCCGAACAGGCATTAAAATTAGGTTTTGGGGACACAATATGGAGGGTGAAAACCTGGCTACTGCAAGCCACGTCATTTCAGTGTTCAGAAAAAAGAAATATAAACAGTAAAGAAGGGATTTAGGGCAAAGGGATAGGGAGGGGACAAGGCCAAGGGGAGGGGGGTCTCATGAGAAGTCTGCAAGTTCACCTATAGGTGATTAAATAGTTTTAAAGGGACACTATAGTCACCTGAACAACTTCAGCTTAATGAGGTTGTTCAGGTGAGAACTATAGCTCCCTGCAGCCTTTCTCATGTATACACTGTATTTTCTGAGCAAATACAGTGTTTACATTGAAAGCTAGGAACACCTCCAGTTGCAGTCACTCAGAGTGAACCAGAGGGACTTCTGAATTGATGGAGATCTGCTGTGCATGAGCATCCTGTGATTCAGTATCTCCTCCCACTGCATGCAGACACTGAACTTTCCTCACAGAGATTAATTGATTCAATTCTTCTCTATGAGGAGATGCATATTGGCCAGGGCTGTATTTGAATCATGCTGGCTCTGCCCCTGATCTCCCTCCTTGTCAGTCTCAGCCAATCCTATGGGGAAGCACTGTGATTGGATCAGGCTATCACATGTCAGCAGACTGCTTGTTTTTCCTGAGTCTAACAGCATGCAGATTTACAGCTTCAGGCTTGAATACAGTAAGATTTGTACTATGTTTATGGAGGCATGAGGGGCCCAGGGGGGCTAGATGGTCGTGTTAACATTATAGGGTCAGGAATACATGTAGTTGCACTGGTGACTATAGTGTGTCCCTTTAATGGTAGAGACACCAGGGAATTCTGGGACATGCATGCAGTAAAAACAGTTCTTACCTTGCATTTAAATGGCTTGATGTCTGAATGGACAATCATATGTGCTTTTAGAGTCTGCTTCTGGACAAAACTTTTGTAGCACAGATGGCACTGATAAGCCCGAATGTTCGTATGGATTAGGACATGTCTCTTCATGTTTGCCAGAAGGGTGAACTCACGTCCACATATCCCACACTTGTGCTCTTTCACACCCTGTATAAGTTAATGAAAACAAGCCATTTACCAATTTGCTCTGACACAAGTATTTGAACAACATGGGGAATATTATCAGGGATCGAGGCCTTCAAGCGCCCTTTGCCAAACTTAGGAGTGACTATTGTGTATGTGTCTGTGTTTTGTGCCATTTAATTATATGTGCATGTTTTTGTTCCTGTGTGTACAATGCCAGTCTTTGTGCATGTTAGAGTTCCTGTGTTTATTCAATATAAATACGTGTGTATTTCAGTGATTCTGTGTGTTTACAATGTCAGTATGTGTCTATGTCAGTATTCCTGTCTGCGTACAATGTCAGTATGTGTGTATGTCAGTATTTCTCTGTGCGTATAATGACAGTTAGTGTGTGTTAGTGTAGCAGAAGACAACCAGCTGAGTCAGTGGTACCAGGTGTCATGGTAAGTTTGTGTTTGTCCTGCCGCAGAGAGAATAAGCTCTTCAATGTATGATGTCCTCTCCCCTGTTCATCCATTCCCTTAGCATTGGGGTCGTAGTTCATTTCCAGTGACATGGAATAAGGCTGCGTGCCGTGTTGAGCAGATGAGGGATGACTACTTTTTAAAAAACTGCGTAATGGGAGTGTTGTTAGCAGATATGTTTCCGGTGTGAGTTGTAGGTTTGCATCCGTAATGGACAAAGGACATTATGTATTGCCTCCCAGAAGGGTCTGATGAGTGGACATGTCCACCATATATGGTATAGAAAGCCGAGTTCTCTCCCGCATCTTCAGCATTCCGGGTTACAGTTGTTTGTCATAGCAGCAGGGCCGGCGCTACCTGTTAGGCGGACTAGGCAGCCGCCTAGGGCGCCCCTTGGGAAGGGGCACCGCCAGGGGCGCCGGCCCGCCTCATGCTGCAGCCGCCCGAGCGCTCTGTAGAGAGCCTCAGGCGGCTGCAGCTTTGCGCAGCATGAGGAGAGGGGCTGACAGGAGGGGCTGACAGGAGGGAAGCGCTCAGCGCTCCCTCCTGTCACTCCCTTACTGTAGCATGGCCGAGCGGGTACAGGGAGCATCTGTCACTGAGTGTGCACTTCCTTAGTCCGGCCGGGTACAGGAAACAAGAGATACCTGTACCCACGGACCAATAGAGGGCTCGGCCACGCTACAACAATGGTGGGGGGGGGAGAATTGACGGGGAATGACTGACAGGGAAGAAGGGGGGAATGAAGGACAGGGAAGGACAGGAAGGGGAATCTTGACAGGAAAGGAACTGACAGGAAGGGGAAACAGGGAAGGGGATCTGACAGGAAGGGAACTGACAGGGTGGAATTGACAGGAAGGGGGTGGAACTGACAGGAAAAGGGGAAATGACAGGAAGGGGATGACAGGGAAGGGGGAATTAACAGGAAGGGGAATTAACAGGAGGACAGGGAGAATAAATTGAAAGGAGGGAATAAATGAAAGGGGGGAATAAATTGAAAGGGAGGGAATAAATGAAAGGGGGTGGGGAAATAAATTGAAAGGGGGGGATAAATTGGGAATAAATTGAAAGGGAGGGTGGGGAATAAATTGAAAGGGGGGGGAATAAATTGAAATAAATTGGGGAGGGAATAAATTGAAAGGGGGGAATAAATTGAAAGGGAGGGAATAAATTGAAAGGGAGGGGAAAGAAATCCACAGGGTGGGTGGGAAGAAATTGACAGGGAGGGGAATTGACGGGGGAGGGAGGGGGAATGAGAGTGGGGAGGGGAGAAGAGAGTGACAACGGGGGAGAAGAGGGGAGAAGAGAGGGACAAGCAGGGGAGAAGAGAGTGACAAGGGAGGTGGGAGAAGAGAGGGACAAGCAGGGGAGAAGAGAGTGACAGGGGAGGGGGTAGAAGAGAGGGACAAGGGGGGGAGAAGAGAGGGACAAGGGTGGGAGAATAGAGTGACAAGGGAAGGAGAGGGGGGAGAAGAGATTGACATCCATCACACACACAATGCACCCCTTACTCACAAAGACAATGCACCCCTTGCACACAGAAAAACACACAATGCATTACACACACAGACACACACACAAGCAATGCAACCCTTACACACAATGCATCCCTTACACACACAGAAACACACAATGCATTCCTTACACACACTCAATGCACCCCTTACAGATGCACACACTGCATCCCGTACATACACAGAAACACACCTTGCAGCCCTTACACATACAAACACAGATTCACACAATGCATTCCTTACACACATATCAGGACATCCCCTACTACTCCACCCCCTGTGAACAAACTCATTGGTGGAACATGAAGGTGGACCCTGGGACCCAGACCATGAGCTGTGTAAAGGGCCCCCAAAAAATGGAGCTGCTTCCCGTTCTCCCAGAACATTGATTTTTGTGACCACAGTTACAAACCGCCTCCAGAGAGTCTGTTCTACACCAGACCAGTGGAGCCAGACTGCAGCTAGAGCCCATCATCATCCTCATCTGGTTGTAAGTAGGCAATCTAGTATATTATTCATGGCACTAATCTCTAGTCCCCAGAACCACTTCAGCTTAATGTAATGGTTCTGGTGTCCATAGCCTGTCCCTGCAGGCCTTTTAATGTAAACACGGCGGCACGGCGGCACTGCAGCACTGGCGTTAGTTAACATGGCAGATCATATGGGTGGGTCATTGTGATGTCACATGGGGGGGCAGCAAACTTTACTTTTGCCTAGGGTAGCAAAAATCCTTGCACCGGCCCTGCATAGCAGCCAGCATTTCTGGGGTTTTGTACCAATGGGAAATCATCTTGTATGCTGATTCCTGGAATGTGGTGCAAATCAACGATTTGTTTAAGAGTAACCCCTAACCTTCCCCTAACCCTAACCTTCCCCTAACCCTACCCTAACCCTACCCTAACCCTTCCCCTAAACCTACTCCTAACCCTACCTCTACCCCAAACCCTACTCTAACCCTACCTCTAACCCTACCCTAACCCTACCCTAATCCTAATTCTACACTTACCCAAAGTTCTGAAGTGCCAAAGTTCCGAAGTGTAGAAGTTCCGAAGTGCCGAAGTTCCGAAGTGCCGAACCGAACCAAAGTGCAGGGGTTCCGAAGTGCTGAAGTCCCAAATTTCGGAATGCCGAACCGAATATTTTTCCCATCCACATCCCTAATCTGCACTGTTGTAGATGTCCCACTGAGTCTGTGCCATTGAGCTGCAGTCTGCAAGAAGCTAAAGGCTTGCGCAGGTGCAATCCACAAATTAAAAATCCAAGTATTGTGGAAGTAGTACAAGTAGTGAACACTCACCATGTTCTGGTCTTTTCCACAACTAGTAGCAATGTAGCGGTAGATATAAAAAGGTTAAAACATTCTTTCTTGATGAAGCGCTGGAACTTTATCTGTTTTATCTACAGCCAGAGTCTATGGGTGCCAACATTCCTGAATTTGTTGGGACAGTCCCATATTTTGGAGTACTGTTCAAGGAAAAATATATCCTGGATATCTGTTCCGTATTTTAAAAATCTGCAAGCAGACTTCAAAATACAGGAGGAGACTGGGCACTATGGCTTCAGCAGCGCATCATGCATGGTCTACTTGGTGGGGCAAGCTGTTAATGAGCCTGGCCGCCCTCTTTAGGTGCAAGCCCTCCCTTTTATGGGCAGAACTGCCCTTTGTACAATACGCTGTGCAGCTTGCCCACTTTGCAACTTCTGTCCAGTGAACATTGTCAGGAATGATGGCTACAGGCTCAGAGAGCTGCATCCACCGGAGGTTAATGGCACTGGAGGCTGCTGGAGCTAATAGGATTTAGGGTATGTGTAACTGCTGATAATTTCAGCAGGTCGTATGCTAATTTTTGTATGTTGTGCATTTTTGTGCCTGGAATGTATGCTATTCAAGGGTGGTGGCGGGTAACAGCAAGAGTATATCCTAAAAATAGGGAGCCATAATGTGAATAGGCACTGTCCCTCATGGTTACCTATTAATGAATAATAATACATATTACTATTATTTACAAACTCCCAATATATTCTTCAGGGCTGTACAATTTCCCAGGGGGACATATGCACTTTTTTGACATATTTTCCAGTATGTGGTTAACAAATCTGAACACTGAGGCACAACAATCAAATCTGGAGCTTGTTCATACAAGGACTAAAAGGATGCATGCTATCTAAAACACACTTTTTACTTTACTAATATCCAAAGGATCATTACCCCATGCTTGTTGCAATTATTTACCAACAAGCTTCCAATGATGGCAAAACTGGTCAATATTGGTGATTACTGGCCATTTTCATAATGCAATACAGTTAACCACTGGTAATAAATTAGTTGCATATGGGTTTTATGCAGATATACCGACAGATAGATATGTCTGTGTGCGTTCTAGTGTATATTAACAAAAGATTGGTGCGCACACCCAATTGTCAGCCATGTGCAATTGATTAAAGCAGTAAATAACAGTACGGGTGCTCACTCATACAACCCTATTTCCAATGGGCTACTAATACAATAATATAAAACAGAGAAAGAGGAGCACAACCAGCTAAAGTACAAAAATACAGAGAATATGTAATATGTAATTACTGACTAAGGACAAAGAATAAGATCAAAAAGATCAATCAGAAATGTACACATAGAGTGATATAACCACAACTATAGAAAAACAATTCTTATGATACCTGTATCAAAGTGTGAACCAAAAATGTACATACCGAAAATAGAACTTGTTGAAGCACATGAGAAGAGGGTGAAGATGTCAAAAAATAATAGCCCCCAACGTTTCGGCGCTATCCGCCTTTATCAAGGGCGTTTTAGTTTGTACCTGGTTAGTTCTCTGATGCTGAACTATAACTCCCATTCTTTAGCTCTCCCTAAGGTAAAAGGTAAATCTAGACATGGACCCCTTGTTCGTTGTGCCTATATGTCACTGACAGAGCCCAATTACTCCCATTATACTCAACCATGCTTTGGCTGTCTATAGGTAGGTTTCTATGCTTGAGTATTACAGTTCTACAACAGATATTTATGTGTTTTTGCAAAGTCAGTGCTGCTGACCTCAGTGTTATGCAATGTCATGCTGCCATTTTGCATGTAAATAATATATTGATGTCGAGTTTTATGTTCCATTTGGCTGGACCTGCAGACAGCAACTGAGTCACTTACCTTGTGCGTAAGAGAATGCTGTTTGAGATGATGGGGCTGCACAAACTCCATTCCACACTCAGAACAAATATATGGACGGATGTCTTTGTGTTTCATCATATGATTCTGCAGTTGGCTTGGGTACTGGAACGTCTTATCACAATCACTGCAGTTGTACTGCACAGGACCTTGATGGGCTGTTAAATGCCTTTTCAGTTGAGCTAGTGTTGGAAAGTCCAGACCACATTCCACGCAAACATTCTCTCGTCCATTCTCATGCTTCGTCTCATGGACCTTGAGTTCACTTGGGTAAGCGAACCCTCTTCCACATATTGTACAGTTGTAGGGCTTCACTTCACTATGCTGCATCATATGTCTCTTCAGGTGGCTGGTTTGGGTGAAAGCTTTTTGGCATACCTGACACTTATGTGGCCGGGTGCCCTGGTGTGTAAGCATATGCGTATGCAAATGACTTAGTTGCTTAAACAATTTTCCGCATCGTGTACAAGCATGGGGTTTAATGCCGCTGTGACCCAAAATATGCGTTACCAAATTATACTTGGAGGTGTATGACTTCTCACACATTGGACATTTCCAACGTTTTTGATCACCAACGTCTACATAAAAACTTTCATCAATCTGGATGTTGACATCAACTCTCTCAGTGTTCTGTTTGTGGTCGTCATGTCCATCCATGTGGGATCTATTCATTGAGTCATCCTTTGGTCTCCTGATGCCAAATGGTTTGTTGATATCAATGCTTTGTGAAGACATGTTAAAAGGGAACATCACACTGGGGTAGACCTTTTGGTAGAAAGGGTAAGAAGGGTGGAAATAAACAGATCCAGTAGGCCACATTACATTTGTTCTTATATGTTCCTGTTTAACAGGGCTATCCCATAAATGATCCACTGTCCTGTAGTACTGAACTCCAATGTTAGACAAGTCAATCATCTTGGAGCTGTAACTTGGATGTGGAGGGAGGTGATACATTATTGGAAGGCCAGATGCTAGAAAGTTTTTGTCTTCTTCCATTACATTAATTTGAGCTTTAAGAGCTGAAGTGTCAAAGCCACAGGATGTTTTTGTGGGCAATATCTTTCTTTTCTGTGACCCACCTTCCATTTCTTCATGGAAACTGTGTAAATTGTCTGGATGAATATTATATCGGTAATGTGGCAGGTGGGATGTGTATTCCTCACCAAATGGTGACAGTCTATTGTATTTGGCAATGGATGGCGTGACTTGTCGGCATTGGGAATAGAGAACATGCTTCTTTACATCTGGGTTGAAGCACAAAGTATCTTTCTGCATTGTCCACCTGGAAGAGATACATATCTTCATTAGATAAATAGTGATACATTCATTTTTATAGCACATTGTTGTATTCATAGGTTTAAATGGACATTATTGGCACTCAGACCGCTCCATCTCATTGAATTGGTCTGGGTGCAGTGCGCTGACCTCTTAACCCTGCAATGTAAAACATTGCAGTTTCAGAGAAATGTTTACATTACAAGGTTTAAGACAACCTCTAGTCCCTCTCTTCCAGACATCCACTAGAGGCACCTGCTGGACTCTAACATGATACAATATTGGACATCCTCGTGCTTTGCACAATAATCAATTTACCTACAAAAAGCAAGTAAATGATAATTTTCAAACATGCATCCAGCTGATTGCATTCGGTTTATCTTCAGCTAACGTGGTAGTTGATAAATTTCTGATTCCTGTGCTTTAAATTGTTTTTGGTTGCGGATCTAAATGATTACAGAATCCATGGGACAGACTAAATCCTGGCCACATTTGGTTTTAGCAATTCGGTGGCTTGAATGCAGTCAGAATTCGGTAATTTTCACTGTATTTTGTACATTTGGACAAAATCCAGTGTTTAGTGAATTACCCTATAAATAAAACAGATGAATGTTAATTTTGTGTTGAGTGTTGTGAGAATGTGTATGTTTGTGTAACATATTAAGTCTATTGAAACTATGACTATACACTATAAAATATTGCTTTTCGTAAAAGTTGATGTAATTGTTTATATGCCTGTTAATGCAGATGTCTTGTAACACTCCTTGGGGCATATTCACTAAACTCAGAATTGCAGAGAATTGACAAGTGAATTGTAGAATATAGGGAACAATAGCTGTATTGGAAAAAATCTTGGTTCAGCTATAGTTACTTCTTTAATTTTTTTTTGCAATTTTATTTTTAATTCTTTACAATTAAATGTCTGGTGAATAAATCAAATAGTGTTATTTACTAAAGTGTGAACTTTGGGAAACCCATAGCGAATTCACATGGAGTGTCCCTTTCAGAGTAGAACACTGCAGTGGACCTCACTTTGCCTACAGTCATGTCTGGTTAAATGCACTTTAAAATGGACCATAAACATAAAAAACGATGCTCTCCAGTAAAGATTTGCTTATTGGCAAATCTCACGTTTGTGTCTTGGGTAGCGGCTTGTGGTTTAGACTCCACCTGTTTTTATATTTACTCATTCATATATTGAGGACAGATCCAAAGATGGGTTAGTGGGGTGTTAAGGTGAAAATGTGCAGGCAAGCCACCGATAATGGTAACGCTCCCTAAAATCCCTCCTAAATATACATCCAAAAACTGTATAAAACACAAAGTTAAAATACAATGCAGGACGCCACAATCACGAATGTGAAGTATAGTTACCACTTCATAAGGGAACTGACCCTAACATAGAAAAGAAACATATAAAGAGAATCATAGTGCAATCATTTAATAACAATAGTAAATAAAAAGCCAATAAAATGAACACTCACAAAAATATTGGCACAATTAAAAATCGTCAATTGTGCAAACACGCTTTTTGCCTGTAATTAGGCTAAGTTTGTACCTCTTGATGTCTGAAATATATCTGAGGACATGGTCAGGTCATCCGACCTGCTTTTGGGTGGGATTGTACCTATTTGCAAAAGAATACACCTAGCAATAAGAACCAAGCTATTTCTATCAGTGTATATCTGTTCTCATCATTTTATAAACTTAAAATTCTGCTCCACAAAAAGAACGATATAAATATATGCAAAAGGAGTTGTACGGCAATTGTAGTTCCTAAAAAAAATTATGCTAAACTACTGGCAACAGCTTTGAAAGTTGTTGCCAGTACCGTAGGCTCACCATGTGGGTTATCTAGATTCTAAACCTACAATGATCTAATCTGTCTACCTGTATCTCAGAACAGTTCACATTTGTGTATTTGGTATTCCATGTCCTATTAGAGAGATCTGTTATAAAGTAAAAAGAATAGCATTGTGAGCATACAGGAAAGATTGTTTTTTGGCTTTTTTTAAAACTAAATATTGAGTTTTGATTAGTATATCCAAAAAGTGGCCATTCATGGGGACAAAACTGCAAATTTTTGAAAACGGCGAATTTTTACTAAACCCAAGAATTATCAACTCAGTTATGAGCAAATATATCCCAAAGCCATTTTTAAATTGTACTCTGTAGCTCAACTCAAAGAAAACTCACTACCAACTTGGGTTTAGTAAATCGAGTTGTGTTTCTGAGCCCAGTGCCAAGTAAAATGGTGTCTGCTTGGGCAAATGAGGGGGGTAGCGGAGGTTAGTCAACAAAAACTTAAACATTGATCTTGTTTGAGTTTAAAAATGATAAACTTCTCAATAAAATAAATATTGATATTTCTCAATATAAATAATATATTAAAACTGAAATATTAACATGACTTGAAAAAGTAGGTGTTCTTTTGTACCAAAATAAATTTTCATAAATATATGGTGTTTTTTTTTGTTTTTTTTTTACATTGGCTCCATTCCGTTTTGATAGTTATAGTATTTTGTTAAGTGGGATAAGATTTTATCTCCGATATGCGTCATTCCTCATTCCTATTAAAATGTTTCCTTTTAAAAGAACTTAATGTAACTTTCATTTCCTGTTGCTCATCTCATATTTCCTGGATTCCTATTCGTTTCTGCCAGCTGTAAAACAAAGAGTCGTTCCAGACTAACGGCCTGTGTTACTTTATTCTGTTTGCTTGTGTTACTGGTGCTACTTTTTAGCGTTTTTTCATTAATTTGAAATAAATTTTACAAAATATGCAATTTATTAATTGCGTGTAAAAATGTCTCTGCTGATATTGAGCTTAAACATTTCTAATATAATCTTTTAACATTTTTCAGGCATTATTCACCAGAACGTGAAAGGTCAGAAATTAAAAGCAAATGTTTAATTTTAGGCCTAAATTCAGCTGTGATTTCATTTTTGAGATTTTTTATCTCGTTGAAGTGGTCTGGGTGCAGTTGTCCTGACCTCCTAACCATGCAATGAAAACCATGTTTACATTGGAAGGTTAAGTCCAGCTCAGTATGACAGCAACTATAGGACCAACGATGGCTCTGTGATGATGCAGGGCCTGAGAGGTGAGCAGTACAGTAGGAGCCTCGGTGCTGGAAAAATGTAAGTAAACATTAAAAATTTTTATTTATTTTTTAAGGCACACATTGGGGGTGGACCTAGATAACTGGAGACAGGTTTGTATTGTATTCCTAACTCTTTAGTATTCCTTTAGTGTCCTGAAAGCTTGCACAATTTCCTTTTCTGTTAACTAATAAAGGTATTATTTTTTTAAATTTTTGTTAACTTATTCTTATTTAGTTAATCAGTATCAACAAAACAATTATTCATAGGCATGAAATTTTAAATTCACTTTAAAAGGGCAGTCTGGACACCAAAATAATTACAGACCACTATAATGGTTAAGAAGCCAGGAGCCCCCTGGCGACATACCATGATAAGTAGTCAAACCCATTTCCGAATGAGTATTCGTACTCCCCTTGAGTATTAGATCAGTTCTAACTGTGTCTGGATGAGATTCAGTGGATTACAGTAATCAAGATGAGTCTAGTCCTCTGGTGGTATTGCTTAGCTGAACTATATAAAAGAACTATGTAGGACAGTAAGGCCTGGGTAAGGACACAGAATGGTTCCCAGAAAATAATTAATAGGGAAAAATAACTGTCCTGAGGAGCTATCAAGGCTGGATTAACTAACCGTCTGGGTAGGGCCTTCTCAGAAAGGGACAACTCTGCTTCAATTAATGGTGCTGATTTCCAGAGGTAATGTGGGATAGACCCTCTATATTTGAGACCAGATATTGTAGAATAAAAATAGTCACTCAGATACTCCAGGCAAAATCAGAAGATGGATTTGGAAGCCACATCTTTAATGGACACTTGTAAGTTATGAAGGCATGCAGTATTATTTTAAACAAACATGCGACACATGGAGGGGCTGGGGACGTGGGGGGAATGAGATGTATGGGGGAGCCTCCAGGGCAATTTTTACACAGAGGCCCCGTGGTTTCTAGTTATGCCTCTGTCCATATCCATAGATCTATGGCTGGACTGGAGGTCCACTGAAACATGTATGATTCTGTATATTGGAAAGAAATAGCCAGGATCAAAATAAAAATAAATATAATTTAATCGAATAAAATTACATGAAATAAAATACCAAATTTAGCACAATGCTAAACTGCTATGTTTACACTGAGGGTTAATCCAGCCTCTAGTGGCTGTCTCAATGACAGCCACTAGAGGCCGCTTCCGTGATTCTCACTGTGAAAATCACAGTGAGAAGACGCTGGACGTCCATAGGAAAGCATTGAGTAATGCTTTCCTATGGGCGGTTTGAATGCGCCTGACGTCGGCAGGAGGAGGAGAGTTCCCCAGCGTCGAGGGAGCCCGGCACTGGAGAAAGGTAAGTGTTTTAACCCCTTCAGCCCAAACACAAATCGAGATTATGAAACTCAAAAATGCTCCAATGATTATATGAGACCAAGAAACAACCCCAACACCCCAAAGAAATGCCAAGAGAAGAGTAGGACTTTAAGTACAAAACACAGGGAGGAGATTTTTGGAACATGTACCATCGATTGTTTTAAATTACCCTCAAAAAACGCTTTGAACGTCTCAATGGAGGAGAATAGGTTTTATTTGGAGGGTCTTTTTTTGGTGGAGGAAAAGAGTAGTACCAACACCATTCAAAAGACACAAAACGTTGGAACAAGGTGAGGGAGAATTATACATAAAAAAGAGAAAAAAGAAAACAATGATATAAAGATTTTTAATTTATCTAAAAATAATCTGTCCTCTACACAAATATGAGTTTTAACCAAGGGTTTTTAAGATTTTTTTTTTTAAAAAGACATGTCTGTAAGAAATTGATAAAATTAAAACAATGTCCAAATAAAAATACAATCTGTCTTTTAAAGAGAGAAAAGCTTTAGAACTTTTAAGAAAAGATCCTTCAATAATCAAAAAATAAACCGGACCGGTAGATGAACGAGTTGGAGTTGTTATTTTAGACAGAGAGAAATATATACAAGAAATAGATAGACAATTACCGAATAATGATACATATAAAAAATAAATAAAAATCCTACATGTGATGTTGAAAATATGTGTTTTTTTTTTTTAATTATAGTTTGGAAATAACTATAAGATGAATATTTATCTTAATATGTAGAAAACTATAGAATCCCAGTCATTTATGTTTTACCTAAACTCCACAAAAGTGTCTCAATCCTCCAGGTAGGCTCGTTGTTTTGGGGCATCAATTGCATTTAAAAAAAAAAATATATATTTTTAAAATTCTTTATATTTGACATGCATGAGAGTAACAGGCATTCTCACTATGCCACAACAGCAAAAGCAAGGCAAGTATTAACAATAATCAATATAGTTAGAGATAAATCAATAACAGAATTCAGGGCGCCACTATCATAGTGTATATTTAATTTACCAGCTTGTCTCAAAACAATATAAAACAATTATAGCCAGAGAGTAGATAGTAAAACTGAAAAACAATTTATTGTAAAGGACAAAAGTACAAGAAAAATTCAAAAGATAGCCTTATTGGCTTAAAAACAGACCCCTATGGTTAGCAGCTGATAGCATTATATAAAGTGCACAATGCAATCAAACAGTGACTATTAGGTCACTAAAATTAATTAATGCTCTCCCTGATCACAGGGATATAGTAAATGGCACAAGTACCTGTAACACAGGGATCTCAATCCTAAAGATACAAAGTGCCAGTCAGGGAAAATGCCAATAAATAAGTGCATAAACAGTGCATATACACAAAAATCAAACTGTTATAACCAAAACTTGAAGGGTCCAAAGTAGCAGCTGGGCTCTACTCGTTTCGTCGGGGAAACCGACTTCCTCAGGAGATTCTCCAATTTATTAATGTCCTATTGGAAAAAATTGTTTTTATCCACCAGAGTTGTGATTGCCGTGAATATTGTCTTCTATAAAAGATACGTTGATGATATTTTTATTATATAGAGGGGATCTTTTAAAGATTTTAACATGTTTTTTATATTTTTAAATATAAATGACTGGGGTACTACAGTAAGTAGTAAATGTCATATTAATTTCTTATACATTTATATTACTAATAACAAGTAGGCCTCATTAGTTTTATTGACGTTGATAGTTGCCACCAACAATACTGGTTGACCAACATCCGAAGTATTTAAGAAATTGCTCGGATCAAATAGATTTTTTATATTAAGCCTCAATTTTAAAAAACAATAATTAGAATTTCAAAAAGGGTACAAAGATGCTGTATTAATGCAGAACAAAAATAAAAATTATAAAAAAAAAATGTACAAGGAAGGGTTATTACAAAAAGAACTATAAAAAATATTAAGACAAGTAGAATGCAGTTATTACAATATAAAGAAAATAAAAAAATACTAAAGCAACATTAAAGGACCACTATAGTGCAAGGAAAACAAACTCGTTTTCCTGGCACTATATAGTCCTTAGGTCCCTGCCACCCTCAGGGCCCCACTCCCGCTGGGCTGAAGGGGTTAAACCTCTTCAGCTACCTACCTTAATCTAGCGCTGTGCTCCCTCGGCGCTGGTGACCTCTCCTCCCCCTCTGACGTCAGCTCTCAAGTGGAGCCGAATATGCATGTGCGGCCAGAGCCACGTGCGCATTCAAACCGCCCATAGGAAAGCATTACTCAATGCTTTCCTATGGACGTTCTGCATGCTCAATGTGATTCTCTGAAACTGCTATGCTTAGAGCTGCAGGGTTAAAACCTGGGAGACCTTGCATCCAGACCACTTCATTGGGCTGTCCTTTAAACATATTTACTTTAATTTTAACTATTCAAGCAATGTAGGATTTTTAAATAAAATAGTTACAAAAAATTGGACAAGAGTGTGAAATTAACGAGTGATTGCATGTTTTTTTTCGGGGAGCTGGGTTTATGGATCCCGTCCATATTAAGCTGGCTGTAAACTGACATAGAAGATGGTAAAATTGTAAAGAATGGTAAAATCTAGTAATACTCCCATTTATGTAATTATGATGTAAAAAAAAAAACACATTCAAATAGAAAATGTAGTGGAAAGGGGGTGAGTAAGGATGCTTTGCACAGGTAGATGAGATGCTTGTCTGAGAAACACAAAGTGATGGTTCCTCGGAAGTAAGAATCCAAGGTTCATGTAATCATTTGATGGAATCTAATCGAAATACAGAAGTCCTTGATGAATATGTATCGGAAATGAGCCATCAGATTTGGGACACTGGAGAATAAACCTTGGACAACAGGACTAAGGTCCAAAATCAGGACGGCCCTGCCAGATTCCAAAATCAGAACAAATAAATTAATCTGAATTCTAGAACTTTTCACTACTTTGTGCTACTTGGATATAAATTATGGGGGCATATCTGTGACAAATATCCACATTTTGTCTCTTAAGACCATCATGATGTTTACTGTATTACCTAACACAGCTGGACGGTATATTTTAACTCTCTGTAATGTTTCCTCATGACAATACTGCTATGCCTTTAACCAATACACTCCACAATACCTTTTCTTTGACAGAGTTTGGGAGAAGGTGTTAATCCCTCTACATAGATGATGAGTTACCATCACGCTACTATATTTTTTACCCAGCTTCTTATATCCTACAATCCATCTCTCTCTCTCTCTTTTCTCACCTTTTTGTTCTGTTTTCCCCACTATAGTTTCTTGAATGCCCTTATTGTTATTATTATTAACTTCCTTTGTCTATACTTAGCAATGTAACCTTAAAAAATGTGTGCAATGACGTTCAATGCCTTTCACTGGTTCATGCATTTATTGTACCAATCTTGTGCCTGCTGTTGGGGCATGGCACGAGCTCATGTTAACTATTTGCACCACAAAAATAAAGAATAAAAAAATAAAAAAAAATAAAACTTCCTTTGTCTATATATGATTTTATTGTGAATGTAACCCTACACACGTCTGCTGTAATCTTACGATGCTGTGTTTATCTCAGTACATGTGTTGACATGGTCAAGAGGGTCAGTTGTAGTTGAAATAAAATGAAATGAATCATTAGAATTGTGGAGAAATGTAATTGAAGTGACTTTGACCATGGAATGATTGCCGATGTCAGCCATAGTAGGATGAGAAACTGTTGATCTCCTTGGACGTTCATGCAGTCCACTCCAACGAGCTGTTGTGATCATAGTGGTTTGAGCTTCCTTTTAGAGTAGAAATTGTTAGTATATTAAAGACGTGGATCTAATAAGAAAATGTATTGCAAGAAATCTTGGGTGGTTAGTGATATAGGTATACTAGTTATTAATTGATATATTTGTTTTCCATGCTACATTGAAGGGCTTTTAAAATATAATATTACATAATTTGTTATAGATGATGAATGGCTGACTGAGCATGATGGGAACTGTATTTCATGATTAGCAGTACATAATCAATAACCAGGACAGCAGTATTATTTCAGCATAAAGAACCAACCGGTGTCCAACTTTCTCTGGCCCTCTGCTGGCCATTGGCTATTATTACCTGAGATGAAACAGGCATATTGCAGAACTTTGAGACCCATAGAGGTCTAAAGTGAGAATTCAAAGTGATTTAAAGTGGAACTTCACATTTAACGGCAAATTTAAGCTAACTTCGAGAATGTTTCCAGCTCAGCTATTATTACTTTGAATTTGAGATTAATTTTGAATCGTCAATTTAGTAAATAAAATAGCTCAGTAAGTTAAGGCTTTGGAGGAATGAAATACTATCTTCACCTACCCATGCATGCGCATAAATATCAGATGATGCAAGTACAATGATCGTGGTTGCAACTGCCATACTATGCTTGGCAAATACACATTAAATGTTTGATCTCGATTCTATTTCATATCTATTTGTTCACTCGCCATTTTGTTCCCATGACTGATACTTGATCAAAACAATGCATTTATAAATTATATAATACTTTACAATTCATGTTTAATGTTAATGAAGATTTAAAAAAAAAAAAAAAAACATTTTCTACAGGATGTCAATTTTTTTTTTTTTGTCTAATCTGCAGGATTGTAAATGTGGTTTCACTCACTGATCCAGATGGTAAATATGTATCTTTTCATAGAACAGTGTGAAACACAGAGGTGCGTGCCGTGGTTTACACCGTGGTCTTGTTACACTACCCCTTTTCTTTTTTACTTCTTGCAGATACAAGTTTTCAATCAGAATTTTCATAAACACATTTTTAAAATAATTTCAATATTTAGAGTGATCTGTGTTCTAATTTGTTTAAAGATTTGGGATTTTTTTTTCAAGTGACACAGCCTCTGTTAATGATAAAATCAAATGAATATAAAGTGGATTTTTCATATAGCAAAAATATATTAAAAAAAGGAGCATAGAAATGTGTGTATCATGGATGCACAACCTTCGTCCTTTGGCTTTAGGACTACATTTCACAGAATTCTCTTTTATTCATTCTTGGAAATGCAGGCAAGCAATAGTTGTAGGGCCTAGAAATCCCATGTCTTGTGAGAGCCTTTTTCGCGTCATAAATATATTATTTTATATACATGCAAAAATTCCCAGAATGCTTCTGGCCTATAGGCTTTCTGATAGGCTGCTAAGGTTGTGTCCCGGATACTTATATTCTTTGTAACTATTTTAGAAACTAGCAAGTCTGTGAATGATTTCTTACATTCACTAAAGGGAAACGAATATAGCATTTTCCCTAATTTGATGTACTGCATGTTTTTGTTAACTTGTGTGTTTTCTTAGGAATTTACATTTGCTCTAATAAATGTACAATTGTTCTTAGTTCCTATACTTTGTGACCTAAATTTAGAATGTGTGGGCATTCGGTTCTATGAAAATGCTGTCTATATAAGTATGGTATTGGTATATAGTATGTAAGTAATAGGTAAGCTTTATTTGTGGTCAAACATATGCCAGAATTATCATACATCTCATGTGAGTGCACATTTTCAACTTTTTTGAATTTGAAAAAACAAACAAACTGTGCTTGTAAAAAAAAGTCGGAATTTAATACATATATCAAATGAAAAACTGAGAGAGTGTGATATTTCATTTTCACCTTCTACATTTATTACCCTTATCACACTTTGCCACCATTTTCCTTACTCCTCCATTATTCATCACTAACACCACTGCCACCTACCTCCACAATACCTTACTTTCATTATCTCTGCCATCTCTTATCGCCATCATCACTACTACCACCATACTTTACCCCCACCATCTCTACCTTCACTATCCCTTAATAGCAACATCTCTACTTCCACTATTCTTTAACAACATCATCATCATCATCATCATCAATTCAACCATTTTTCTGACAATCTTTATTAAGTTTTGAGTGTCAGCAATAACCAACCTCACAATTAGGAGAAACATGTATAAGTGAAACTTGGTAAAATTACATACCAGAAGAAAACCCAATAGTAAACACATCAAATATCAAATCAGATAAGATAACAGTGTACGAGTCGACATCTACATTGATTCAACCATTCTTGAGAAATATCATCACCTACACTATCTTTTACCATCTCTATTCCCACCTACACATTGACTAATTTAAAGGACCACTATAGTGCCAGGAAAACATACTCGTTTTCCTGGCACTATAGTGCCCTGAGGGTGCCCCCACCCTCAGTGGCCCCCTCCCGCCCGGCTCTGGAAGGGGGAAAGGGGTTTAAACTTACCTTTTTCCAGCGCTGGGCGGGGAGCTCTCCTCCTCCGTTCCTCCTCCGGGGCTGAATGCGCACGCGCGGCAAAAGCTGCGCGCGCATTCAGCCGGTCACATAGGAAAGCATTCATAATGCTTTCCTATGGACGCTTGCGTGCTCTCACTGTGAAAATCACAGTGAGAAGCACGCAAGCGCCTCTAGTGGCTGTCAATGAGACAGCCACTAGAGGATTAGGGGAAGGCTTAACCCATTCATAAACATAGCAGTTTCTCTGAAACTGCTATGTTTATGAAAAAATGGGTTAACCCTAGCTGGACCTGGCACCCAGACCACTTCATTAAGCTGAAGTGGTCTGGGTGCCTAGAGTGGTCCTTTAATATCACCTCTTAACTTATGTACCCACTGCCGTCTCCATTCTTTACAACCACCATCACCTTGACTATTTTAACTGACACCAATATCACTTAACCATTGTAATCATAAAATACAGCAGACCCAATAATGAAAATTACCACTATATTAAATCATCATGAGATCATTCACATACTTTATGTTGAAGAAACAGTGTCAAAGAGGCTTGTAGGCCAAAGCATATTGTCACAGATTACCATTAGGCTGAAATTATTATTTATTTAAGAAACCAGGACTTTTCTCATCACTCAGCTGACCCGATACATGTGTTACTGTCATGTGATAATTAATAATATTAATTATAATATCAAATTATTTAACCAGAAAAGTTACCCTTAGCGTTTGCCAGTTCTAAAGTACTCTTTGCAATTTCGATGTTTCAATTACGTAACTTAGTGTCAATCATGTTATTGACTTGGAAGGATGAAAGAATCAGTTGCCCTTGATTTTAATTGAACATTTGACTGTGAGATGCAGTCATTGGGTAAGTTGTCATTATGTGTAGATATTTCTCAAGCTCTACACAAACCGAATAGATACCTGCGAACACAGAGACTGACAGACATTCACTAATGTGAGAATTTCAAATCTAATGTCAAAATAGCTGAACTAAGTCACCTATGCTTTCAGTTTGATTACTCTGGCCTTACATTTTGAATTCACTTTAGAAATTCACCCAGTGAGAGCCTGAATTAGAAATAGAATGTTGCATATAATGTCTCTAAACATCAATTAACTTTTACCTGTGTGATACTACAGAAAGCTTTTTTCATGTTATGTGCTTATATGTATATACCACCAACAAGCTGTCAAAGCATCACATGTAATGAATCAACAGCTAGAATCACAAGTAATGTTTTATATTACTGACATGTAAGTATTTACATTTTCAATGAATATTTTATGGTTATATGTATATATGTGTATAGATATTAGGGTCTCATGTTGATAGCCACATAAATTATATAATTATATTCTGTAACCACAAATTACAGTTTTAGTACATGTGAAAAAAGGAAGACACTGTCAACCATCTGCCTTATTTCTCTTTGTAGCTAAAGACGTCCGCATATACCCCACATGCAACATTTTATCATCTTGCAAAAAGACTGGAAAATAAAATAAACATTAACGGACGATTTGCAAACAGTTAAAATAAGGAAAGATAACTAATTGCAATTAACCATCAATTAACCCTTTGTTTTCAAACTGCCTGTAGAATTCTATAAAACTGGTACCTATAAATGAGCAAAACACATCATTGTAAGCAAAAAATTAACATGACAAAATTATTTGCATTTAACTGTGTTCATATACAAAAAATACACAAACAAATATCTGTGTGTGTATATAGATCTAAGAATGTGCATGTCTGTCTATCTATCTATGTACATACATAAATCTATTCAAATGTATATCACCATATAGATATATTTATGTAGCAACAGCTATATCTATCGCCTGAAACATTAATGGAAATATTGCCACACTCCATTAAATTATTGTGTTTTTTGAGGAAATCTTCAAAAATTTGAAACTTACAAATGAACAGATATTATTGGTCACTAATTAACAAGTCTTATCACCTCACTGTCATTAGCCTGAAAGCAGGAAATGGACTTACTGATTACAGACGCGGAATGTTTAGATCTTCTGCCTCTGATTTGTAATGTTTCTAATGCAATGTAACGTTCCCTGTGTTCTGTGTCCTGATCTGCGCAGTTTGTCCCACAGCCTGCTAGGGACAGTGTTTAAAATTCACTTAAGAAAGAGAACAGGAACAATCACTTCGTTCTCCTTTTTTTTTTTTTTAGATGAGTACCTTCGGAAAGAAGGAAGGAAGGGAGGGGAGAGGATGCAAACGACCCAATGCTTTCCTGCAAAAAAATAAGGAAATAAAAGATAGACATCTTTTTCTTCTAAAAAAATGTTTGGCAGAAGAAAAGAACTGAGAAGGAATGCCACTAAAATTCCATTCACCGTACTTATTTTTCTCACATGTATTCGTAAAGTGTGCTTCATAATAATAAGGTGTGCTGGGGAAAGCTGAGTATGCATGTTATATGTGAGCAGGGCCAATGACCAATGTTGATGAAGGTAAGGGGAAGTAATGGTTTGCCAAAAACTGACATGACATGAGGGCCTTGAGGAGGACTCACCTTAGTAAAGAAATGCTCAAAGATCTATAAAAAGGTGTGGGAAAAGTAGTGTTTGGGGGGAATGTTGATTAGGTTAACAAGTTACAGTATCCTTAGATGCAAGTAAAACTATTGGAACATCTTCACGCCCTACAGTTATATCAGAGAGAAGACACAAAGTTCTATATGGCGGATCCAAAACAAGAACAAAGTGAAATGACCAATCAAACAGATCCCTTTCTTTTTCCACTGTATTTCATGATCTTAAACAATTGGCGTGAAACGAGTTCAACAGGCATGTGCTAAGCCCTGCGCTTCAATACCTGACCATATAATATTTACAATGTGGACATCTACTGTTATCCTAACACATATACCAAGATGCAATCTCTTCTCAACTTAAAGTCACTTGCAAACTCCATTCAAATCTGCACATTACATCTTCAAAGTCTGGGAGCAAGGTCGCCAACAGATACTACAGTCTCCCAGAAAATATCCTATCCTAGTCCAGGCACTAGCCCAAGCACAATCCCACATGGTGCTGGGCTACAAAAAGTCTGACACAATTCCTGCAAGCTGCCTTACTCTTGCAGCAATGTGCCAACAGACATCCCAACGCAGTTTACGCTCATTTTAATCATCAGAGGAATGGTGGTATGAGGCTGTAACCATCAACTAGCGTATGCTAGTGGAAACCATGCAACTACCTGTGGTAACCATGCAACCACCCTTGCCAGCCACCCATTTACTTAATGGATATTCCCTACCCTAGTACTGCTGTCCAATAAAGAGAATAATATTAATTGTCTTGATTGCCCATAGAAGTTGTTTATTAGCCCCTGGGCTGAAGACATTTTCTTTTCAAATGCTGAATGGATAGCAGAAATATTTGAATCTGCCTAAGAAGCTTTAGCTGGCAACCAGATGGAACTCAGAGACTGTACGGGCTGGCAACGACATCACAGAATTCTGCAACAGTACAACCTCAGCAGTCACTCGGAAACTATAAATGCCACCCAGCATTCCTCATGCAAAGTATACAATGTGCTGAAGCATGCAGATAGTTCATCCTGCTATCGTGTCTACACCGGCATGGATCACATGGATCATCTACATTGAGTCTTTTCAGACCAAACACCAGGGAAAACAGAACTGAGACAAGTTTCCTTCTTTGAGATTATTCAACTTTCTCCAGCAACCTGATGGTTATTATAAGAACAGTCTGGAGGCTCATGATTATACCTCACTGTTATACCAGTGTCCATGGCAACAAATTGGTTTGCAACACATGATATAAGTGTGATTACTTACTGTCATCAGACTCCAGCTCTTCAATTTGAAATATTTTGTGGATTAGAAATAACAGAAAACAGTCCTTTTTGTCCTTTAGCAGATCTCAATTCCTGTTTTCCATCTAATGTATTGACTTATTTAACAGAACATATCTGCACAACAGCTGAGATTATAATGTCCGATTGGGGCTAGAGTTTCTGCCCCTGGTCATCCCTCTAACAGACGGAGCAAAGATTGAAGCCAATGTGCCAGGAAATGGTCTTCAGGATCTGGTTTGTAGGACATCAATCCACCATCCCCAAGCCCTGTATATTAAATAGGATCTGGGTGGGGGAAGAAGCGACAATCACAAAGAATGGAGCAACAGGATTGTTACGACACCTCCAGTGTCTTTAGGCAAAACCGCCGTTTAGTAGACCTTCCCCGTCTGCAGTAACAGTAACTCCGTTCGCCTAACCTGTAGTACACGAACCAAATGCAGGGGAAGCGGCAATCTCCCGACCGGGATCCGTGAACGGCTCCAAACTCCCGAACGGCAATACACGAACTGCTGCTAGCCGCCGAACAACAATATCCACCAAGCGGCTTTCGTTTCCATCCAGCAGTCTCTAAACGTGAAGAAGAAATCCCCCCAATAACGAGACAGAAGCTCCGCATTGAGGGTCAAACAGGATCTGGCTTTACTGTGGGCTACCTGCCCGTATTTATGCAGGTCTCCCACTTGGTGGACACTCCCCTAGGGGACCAAATGGGAGACTTAAATGACAGACAGATATGGGGACATTCCAGACACACAGTCACAGATTCTACCCACAGTGCATTATGATTCCCTCCCCTCTGCCCTGGAGATAATTACCAAGTAACTCAATTATCTCCAGGACAAAGCCAGTCGCCATCTTAAATATAAAATCATAAAAGACATAAAAATGCATAACTTTAAAATAACCGAACATTTCCCATTCGTATCACATATCCCCAGATAGCCTGGATCTGAGTGCATATTATTAGCGAATAGCGCTCAGATCCCACACACATAGTTCAATCGCCATGGAGTCAAAGTTCTTACAGTCTTTCGGTATACGAATGACTCCATGGGAAGGCTATCTGGGTTAAGTCTTTTCGTATGCTCCAAACCTCCCGAACGGCCGGTATTCGTATGCTTTCGTGGAGACAGCCAGGCGTTCCGTTGTTTCAGCGGTGTTCGGCAGAAAAAGTGTCCGTTTTTAGTTCCATAGAAATAGAGCCAAACACCGCTGGGCTTTCGCGTGGTTTAAAATGGCCGCTGCCTCGTGGTCGACATACGAACGACGACCACCCTGAATTCGGTTTAATTGAGAAGTGTCTGCGGTTAACCACAACGTTCTAATTGGGATCAATAGGTTAACCAGCAGCACACTTCTCTCCTGGGTGGCCGTCCGTTCGGCAGGTTTGTTCGGGAAAAAGAGTCATTCGAATGGCTGGGCTATAGAAACCAGCCATTTATACGAACGGGAGACAAACAGAGGAATGCAACTAAAATGGTTCTGTCACACGGCTCCCTCCTTGTGGGACACTCCGGCAGACCCGGCTTGACCCTATGGCGGGTCAACTTGGGGATGACCGGACTAAGAGGTGGTGGAAACGTCTGTTTGTCGTGATAACCCATCTGCATTCCCGTTCAGCTTACCAGGTCTGTAGCTGATGGTAAATTTGTAGGGCTGTAGTGCCAAGCTCCATCTCAGCAGTCTCCCATTATCTCCTGAGACCCGGTTAAGCCAAACGAGTGGGTTGTGATCAGTCACAAGGGAAAACTCTTGCCCATACAAATAGGGACTTAACTTTTTCAATGCCCAGACCAAGGCCAAGCACTCCTTTTCCACTGCCGCATAACTCACTTCTCTGGGTAACAACTTTCTGCTGAGATATGCGACAGGGTGCTCTCCTCCATCTTCCCCGACTTGGCTCAGCACAGCCCCCAGTCCATACATGGAAGCATCTGTATGGACGAGAAAACATTTGTTAGGGACTGGGGCAGCCAAGACAGGGGCATTCACAAGAACCTGCTTCAGTGCCTGGAACGCAGCTTCACAAGCCGTAGACCACAGGACCTGCTTAGGCAAGTTCTTCTTGGTCAGGTCTGTCAGGGGCTTAGCAATAGTGCTGTAGTCAGGGACAAAATGTCTGTAGTACCCTGCCGTCCCCAAGAAGGCCAATACCTGGGTCTTAGTGGTAGGTGTGGGCCAGTTAGCCACTGCCTCTACCTTGGCTGGCTCTGGTCTCTGGTTCCCACACCCCACTCTGTGACCCAGGTATTGTACTTCAGCCATACCTAGATGGCACTTCTCTGGCTTCAATGTCAGGCCAGCGGCCCAAATTTTATCCAGCACTACCCCTACATGTACCAGGTGTTCCTCCCAGGACCCACTGTAAATCGCAATGTCGTCCAAGTATGCACAGGCAAATTCTTGGAAGCCATCCAGGAGTCTATCCACCATCCGTTGGAAGGTAGCCGGTGCATTTTTCATCCCAAAAGGCATGACCTTAAATTGGTACAGGCCAAATGGGGTGACAAATGCCGACTTGGGGATAGCATCCTCAGCCAGGGGGATCTGCCAGTAGCCCTTACATAGGTCTATGGTGGTCAGATATCGCCCCCTGGCAATACGATCCAGTAATTCGTCTACCCGGGGCATTGGGTAGGCGTCAGTGGTGGTCCGCTCGTTGAGTCGCCTGTAGTCCACACAGAACCGGGTGGTCCCATCTTTCTTGGGCACCAGGACTACAGGCGAGGCCCAAGGGCTGTCGGAGTGCTCGATGACCCCAAGCTGAGTCATCTCCTGTATCTCCTTCCGCATTCCTTCACGGACTGCTTCAGGGATACGATAGGGGGGCTGTCGTAAGGGGGTCTGTCCAGGGGTCTCTACCTTATGCACAGCTAGGGTGGTATAACCTGGTTCCTGGGAGAACGTCGCCTGCTTCTCCCACAACAATTGCTGCGCCTGTACCCTTTCTGTGGGGTTCAACCGGTCCCCTAGCTGTACAAGGGTAGTAAGGTCAGTCTGGGAATCCCTTTCTAATAGATCTGGAAGGGGTAAATTCTCAGAATCATCTGCAGCTGGGGCACATACTGCTGCAATATTCTCAGGTCTCTCCTGGTACTCTTTCAGCATGTTCACATGAAAGGATCGCTGGATCCTTTCATCTGCACAGCTGGCTATCAAGTAAGTAGTGTCGCAGATCTGCGCCACTACCTTGTACAGGCCCTGCCAAGATGCTTGCATCTTGTTGGCCTTCACAGGTTTGAGCACCAATACCTTTTGCCCAACCTGGAAGACCCGCTGTCGGGCACCCTGATCGTACCATCTCTTCTGTCTCCCCTGGGCCGCCTGGAGATTCTCCCTTACCATCAGGGACAGTTTCTCCATGCGGTCCCGGAGTTCCAGAACATATGGCACTATGGGGGTCCCCTCTTGCTCCGTCTCCCCCTCCCAGTGGCCTCTAATGAGATCTAGGGGTCCGCGGACCCTTCTCCCATACAGCAGCTCAAAGGGGGAGAACCCAGTAGATTCCTGGGGCACCTCTCTATAAGAAAATAATAGATGAGGCAGGAATCTCTCCCAGTCTCTGCAAGTGTCTGTAAAGGTCCTCAGCATCTGTTTGAGGGTACCGTTAAAGCGCTCGCAGAGACCGTTAGTCTGTGGGTGGTAGGGTGAGCTAAGTAACGGCTTAATGCCACACACCTTCCACAGCTGCTGGGTGAGCACAGCGGTGAATTGGGTTCCCTGGTCGGAGAGAATCTCCTTAGGAAACCCGACCCTAGTAAAAATTCTAACCAGGGCATCAGCAACCGTCTCTGCCTCTATATTAGACAGCGCTACTGCCTCTGGATAGCGAGTGGCATAGTCCACCACGGTAAGAACGTATTTCTTACCTGATGGACTAGCCCTGGCCAGTGGACCCACAATGTCAACGGCTATGCGGGCAAAGGGCTCCCCTATAATAGGCATCGATAATAGCCTAGCCTTAGGGTGGTCCCCCTGCTTTCCTACCCGTTGACATGTGTCGCACGTCCTGCAATACATCCGCACAGCCTGGTTAAAGTTTGGCCAAAATAAATTCTGCAAGATCCTATAGGCTGTGCGGCGGGACCCTAGATGTCCAGCTAACGGAACATCATGCCCTATCCGCAGAATCTCCTGCCGGTACTTTGCAGGTACCACTAACTGGCGATTCGGCGGAGGGGCAACACTCTTCTGGGAAGGCTTAGGGATCCTATATAACCTGTCCCCCACCCACTCATACCGTTCCCCATCTATTCCTTCCTCTCCAGCATCTGCCCTGTCTCTGTACTTTTGGAGGCTCGGATCTGCCCGGGTTTCCCTCCCAAACTCCTCGGGGGAATCCCAGCTTAAGAGGACCTGATCTGGGGTACCAGTCTGGGAAGGAGATCTTACCTGGGTCTCATCAGCAGGTGGGCCGGTTCCGGCAGCACGGGTCTGGGCACGGGTGGTCACTGGGTTCACATCCGCAGGGCCCATCGGAGCATAGGCTGAAACCAAAGGGGCCAAATCGTTTCCCAGAAGAACATCTGCGGGCAAGTCTTTCATCACCCCCACATCCACATGTCTAGCGCCCACTCCCCAATCCAAATGTACCCGGGCAACAGGTAAGCGAAACACGGCACCCCCTGCTACCCTTACTGCCACAGTGTCCCCAGTGTGCTGATGCTCCGAGACCAAGTTCTTTTGGAGCAGTGTCATCGTGGCTCCTGTGTCTCTCAGCCCATTTACCACTCTGCCATTCAGCTTCACGGTTTGCCGATGTTGCTGGCGATTATCCTGGTGAGCTGCTTGCACTGGGTCGGCCTCGTGTAGGATGCCCCAGAACTCCTCCTGCTCTATGCAGTGAGCAGCAGGCTGAGGTGGCCGCTGGTTCCCATTGGCTGGTCTTCTCCAGGACTGGGCTTGGTTGGCACTGTTCAGTGGGCACTCGGGACGCTTGTGCCCCAACTGTTTGCACCCAAAGCACCGGATGGGTTGGGAATAATCCCAGGCATTAAATCGGGATGGCTGCACATAATTGTTAGCTGGCGGTGCGGCTGGGGTACGGTGTACTGGGGGTTGGTAGGCTGAAGGAGCGGGTGTTACTGCTGGTCGATACTCCAGTCTGGCAGGGGCTTTCGGCAGCTGTACCATCCAACTTGCGGGCATCCGTGTATTCGTCTGCCAGATGAGCAGCCTCGGGTAGGGTAGAGGGTTTTCTATCTCTGACCCACTCCCGGACCCCAGCAGGTAGTCTATCAAAGCAGTGCTCCAGCAGGAACACTTGTAGCACTTCCTCCCCAGTTACCGCTTGGCATCCTGCCATCCAGTGGGCTGCGGTACGATGAACTCTGCAGGCCCACTCCACATAAGAGTCCCCAACCAGCTTATTGGTTTCTCTAAATCTCCGCCTGTACGCTTCTGGGGTCACTGCATACCTGGCTAGGAGTGCATCCTTCACAGCCCGGTAGCTGGTGATCTCCTTCTCTGGGATGGCCCGAAACGCTTCACTAGCTGGCTGGATAACTTCCCAGAGAGGATGGTGACCCATTCATCTGCGGGTACCTGGTGTAGAGCACACTGCCTCTCGAAGTCCGCCAGGAACCCATCAATCTCTCCCTCGGTTTCCACAAAGTTTTTAAATGCAGCAAAGGGTACCTTCTTTCTAGCAAAAACATTATTATTGTTGGGTACCTCTGCTGCTGCAGCTCCTCTTTCCCGGAGCGCCTGGTGTGCTGTTACTGCTGCCTGCACACGCTCCACGATGTCAGCTGAGGGGTTGGGGCCAAAATGTGCCAGCCTTATTTGCACTGCCTGGTTAAATTGTAATTCCTCGGGTGTTAAATCCAAGGTACTGGGCACATTGACTCTCTCCATTCCCGGTGCTGCATCCATCTCCAGTAGTAAAGCAATAATTTCTCTCTTTTTTAAATTGCTTGCTGACCTTCCTCGGCGTTCCAATATGTCCTTAAGTGTAGCACGCCTTAATTCCTCATACTTGATGTCTTGTAGCTGACCTCCAATGCTGTGGGATTCATCCCGTCGCTTGCCACCAATTGTTACGACACCTCCAGTGTCTTTAGGCAAAACCGCCGGTTAGTAGACCTTCCCCGTCTGCAGTAACAGTAACTCCGTTCGCCTAACCTGTAGTACACGAACCAAATGCAGGGGAAGCGGCAATCTCCCGACCGGGATCTGTGAACGGCTCCAAACTCCCGAACGGCAATACACGAACTGCTGCTAGCCGCCGAACAACAATATCCACCAAGCGGCTTTTGTTTCCATCCAGCAGTCTCTAAACGTGAAGAAGAAATCCCCCCAATAACGAGACAGAAGCTCGGCATTGAGGGTCAAACAGGATCTGGCTTTACTGTGGGCTACCTGCCTGTATTTATGCAGGTCACCCACTTGGTGGACACTCCCCTAGGGGACCAAATGGGAGACTTAAATGACAGACAGATATGGGGACATTCCAGACACACAGTCACAGATTCTACCCACAGTGCATTATGATTCCCTCCCCTCTGCCCTGGATATAATTACCAAGTAACTCAATTATCTCCAGGACAAAGCCAGTCGCCATCTTAAATATAAAATCATAAAAGACATAAAAATGCATAACTTTAAAATAACCGAACATTTCCCATTCGTATCACATATCCCCAGATAGCCTGGATCTGAGTGCATATTATTAGCGAATAGCGCTCAGATCCCACACACATAGTTCAATCGCCATGGAGTCAAAGTTCTTACAGTCTTTCGGTATACGAATGACTCCATGGGAAGGCTATCTGGGTTAAGTCTTTTCGTATGCTCCAAACCTCCCGAACGGCCGGTATTCGTATGCTTTCGTGGAGACAGCCAGGCGTTCCGTTGTTTCAGCGGTGTTCGGCAGAAAAAGTGTCCGTTTTTAGTTCCATAGAAATAGAGCCAAACACCGCTGGGCTTTCGCGTGGTTTAAAATGGCCGCTGCCTCGTGGTCGACATACGAACGACGACCACCCTGAATTCGGTTTAATTGAGAAGTGTCTGCGGTTAACCACAACGTTCTAATTGGGATCAATAGGTTAACCAGCAGCACACTTCTCTCCTGGGTGGCCGTCCGTTCGGCAGGTTTGTTCGGGAAAAAGAGTCATTCGAATGGCTGGGCTATAGAAACCAGCCATTCATACGAACGGGAGACAAACAGACGAATGCAACTAAAATACAAGCAGACAGATGGTTCTGTCACAAGGATTCAATAAACTCAGCTTTGTCAGTTAGACAGAATCAAATGCTAGGACTGGTAAAGTAAATCTAGCTTACAAATGAATCATAGCAAACCAACAGTACCTGCTCCCTGTGAAGCACACTTTAAAAACAAAATGAAAAGAAATGTTGAAACATATTTGATGCTAAACAAGGGACAACCCGTCGGTGCCAGCCGGTGAAACCTGAAAATGTATACTCTACCCTACCCCAGTACTGCTGCGCAATGAGGAGGATAATACTGACTATCCTGATTGCCTGTGAGTCTGTTTCTTTGGCCCATGGAAAGAGGCTCTAAAAATAGTAAAACATAATGTGATTTGATGATAAGTTTTGGGGGTGTAGAAGAGGGTTTATAGAATTTATTATTCCCTTTGGTCACTAAGTAACACTTATAGAGCGCCAAATTCCGCAGCGCTGTACAATTGGGAAAAAGACAACACAATAAGAACAGATTGATACAACAGGTAGAGAACCCTGCCCGTGAGCTTACAATCTAAAGGTTACAATGGGGAATTGAGTCAAGAGATAGCAGATGAATTTGTATGTGATGGGGAGTTAATGGTATAATTACAGTAACTGATAACATGTGAAGGAAATGAGGAGGTGATTGACTGTGGTTCCAAACCACTGGAAGAGCATACTTACAGTGCCAAATGTGGTGGGAACATCCTTTACAATATACTTGATGATATGGCAATATTAATTCAGGGCAGGGCTCCCTGTTAGCACAGAAGGAGATTGGCAATATTATAATATTCTTAATTATACATTTGAAATACACACAAATAAAACATGCAAATTGTACATACAAGTAACTTGGCAATAAAAGACACTGAATTAACAACACACTTTCAAAGTTATGTTATTATTTAGTTTGCTAACCAAAGAGTTAACCAAAGTTAAGGTTACTCTTATTTAAAGGTGCGCTCTAGGCACCATAACAATTTGATCTGCTGCAGTGGTTATAGTGCCAGTAGGCTTTGGGTGCCATCTCCCAGTTCTTTGTCAAATGGTTTTAGAATGGTTTGACCAAGGTAACAACATGACAGCCACTAGAGGCATTTCATGACGTTTGACTTCGTGAAATGATGCTAGACACCCTCACACTTTGCATGAGGACATCCAGTGTCAAAGAAAACCCCATATGAAAGCATTGAAGACCTCATGCGCACACAGCACTCCCCGCGCATACGCATTCGATCCCGCCATCGGATGACATCAGAAGAGGCAGAGCGCAACCCAGTTTCGAGGGACATCAGAAATCGAGTAAGTGAATAAAAGTTTTTTTAACCGTTTTTGTGCCAAGGGAGGGGGACCAAAGCGCACTATAGTGTTAGGAATACAGCTGTCATGTATTAATACATATATGTATTAAATGATAGTTTAGCAATGGCTTAAAATGAGGAGGGGTAATAAGAAAAAAAAAATTAGCAGCAAACAGAACCAACAGGTAAACCCTTTTCACAGGGCAAATAGGTAATTGCTCCATTGTTCACTGGATATACTGATCACAGTGTATATTTTGACATATTTTTGTTTCTTTGTGCCATGGGCCTGGGAAAGGTTGAACAAAGAGGTAAAAATATGTTTATATTTTTAAATATTGTCTATATGCTTATAGACAGATATTTAATACCTAAAAAAATTACAAAAAGCAACAAGTAATGTACCCTATATATAGATCTATATGTTCCAAGTAGAGGTTTGAGAATTAAACTCACCTTTCACTCCTTTCTGCTGCCCCATGTATTCAAAGGATTGTTAGCAAGGGGTTAATGAAAGGTCTTTGACATCGTTAGAGAGTAGGATAGATGAAATAGAAAGAGACCAGAAACGAGCAAATAAAAGAGTAGATTGTATTATAATGATAACAAAAACAACATTAATAACAATAATACGAATCTGATATCACACACGGTTTTGTACAAAAGAAGTATTGTAAATTAAACTGTGATCTTCAGACCCACTATTAATGATCTATCCTGTAATGTTGCATTTTATAGAGAACCAACAATTACTCTAAAGTACTATGTCTGAGGCTCAAACAATGATACATGTGTCTGCACTGGAATTTATTTTTCAGTAAAGCATTGAAACCATGTGACAATAACTACAGAGATAGTGAAAGATGGGAGGATTTTAATCAAGTTATGAGAACTTAAATATTTTATCTGGGAGAATTGTGATTATGAAGTCCTTATATCCTTCAACGTTTACCATAGACTGATCAGCCACAACATTAAAACCACTTGTTTAGTATCGTGTTGCCAAAACAGCTCTGACGCTTCAAGGCATGAACTCCACAAGGCCTCTGAACATGTCCTGTAGTATCTGGCACCAAGATATTAGCAGAATATCCTTCAAGTCCTGCAGGTTGCTAGGTAGGGACTTCATGAATCAGATATGTTGTTCCAGCACATCCCACAGATGCTCAATTGGATTGAGATTTGGGGAATTTGGAGGCCAAGGCAACATCTTGAACTCTTTCTCATGTTCCTCAAGCCATTCATGAACAATTTGTGTCATATGGTAGGGTGCATTATTCTGCTGAAAGAGTCCACTGCCATCAGAGAACACCAATGCCATGAGATGGTGTATGTGGTCTGCAATAATCTCTAGGTAGGTGGTACGTGTCAAAGTAGCATCCACATGAATACCAGGACTCAAGCTTTCCCAGCAGAACATTGACAAGAACATAACACTGCTTTCTTCCAATAGCGTATCCTGCTGCCATCTCTTCCCCAAGCAAACGACCCACATGCACCCGACCATATACATGAGAAAATGTGATTCATCAAACCACGAAACCTTCTTCCATAGCTCCATGGTCCCATTCTGACGCTCATGTCCCCATTGAAGTTGCTTTCTGCGGAGGACAAAGGTCATCATGGGCACTCTGACCGATTTGCATCTACGCAGTCCCGTTTGCAGCAAACTGAGAAGCACTGTGTGTTCTGACACCTTTCTATGATGGTCAGCATTTTGTTTTGTAAGCAATTTGAGCTACTTTAGCTCTACTGAGAGATCGGACCAGATGGGCTAGCCTTCACTCCCCACATGCATCAATGAGCCTTGGGCTTCCATGGCCCTGACGCTGGTTCACCAATTGCCCTTCCTTGCACCACTTTTGGCAGGTACTAACCACTGCATACTCGAAACACAACTCAAGACGTGCCGCTTTGGAGATACTCTGACCCAGTCGATCCATCACTATGTGTCTCTTGAAATTAAAGAACTGACTGTTCACTAACTGCCTAATATATCCCACCCCTTGACAGGTGCCATTGTAGCAATATAATCAATGTTATTCACTTCACCTGTCAGTGGATTTAACATTGTGGCTGATCAGTGTATAACTGCAATAAAAGCCATTGACTAACTAGTACATTTTAAAGTTGTTGTTTTTTTCTACATATAAAGGAAGTTAGGGAATTTCTCAAACTACTGAAGTGAAACTTTAATCAACAATTATGACAACAATAAAATTCATTACAGATAAGTAATATAGTTAAATATATAGAGATATCAAAATCTTTATCAAATAAGTTAAAATATACACTTTAGCTTTACATAATTTCTAATCTTTCTTTGACAAAGTCCTAAACTAGGTGCATAGCATTAGCTTGACCAGCTATTTTCAAGTTCAAAATCATATCAGCTACATATTATTTAAAGGAAGAATGCTATAGTACCTGCTCACTGGTTAGGGTACCCCCTCCCCTGTGAAGGAAAAATGTTGTTTACCTACCTTGCAGCCCTCTCTGCGGTTCGCTCTCTCAATCTCTACAATACACTGAATAGAGCAATTATCACAGGTTGCATTACCTATCAACTACCAATTATCAAGAATACACAAAACCTCTGATAAAAGGCACAGAGCGACTGGGAAAGAGGAGAAAGACAAACACAAATAAGTTGGGGTGAGAAAGAGACACACAAAGGGCCTGAAGGGAGAAAGGGACACACAAAGAGGTTTGTGGGGAGAAAAACACACAGATGAGTTTGTGGGGGCTAAAACCACATAAAAGGACGGGTAGGTGTAAGACACACGAAGTGGAAAAAGGAGGATAAGTGTCATGGTTCTGATCAGGTCAGATAGACTGAGAGACTTATGCTGGGGTTGACTTTAGGTTCTTTATTGGAAATCTTTGACACGTTTTGACTTGAAATAATAAATGTAACAAGAGTTAAAGGGGACAGCTATACTACCAGGCCACACACCTGCAGAGGCTGGTTGACTGGCACGCTCGCCCAAGTACCAAAAGATGGGTGCTCATGGAGACCCAGCAGTCGCAGGGCGCAATCCCGGCCAGAATCTGGCTCGCATCGGCCACCTACTCGGAGCTCCGAACCCAAAACCCACTCATTGACGCCACCCTCGGAGTCTGGTGTAAACTGCGCTTTTCCCACCAACTCACCACATCACCTAACCCGCTCACCCCGATCGCTTACAACCCAAACCTAGCGGGGGGCCTCCACCCCGCGGCCTTTCGGAACTTCCTCCAGACGGACTGGATCTACTTACACCAATGGATCGTTGACAGGACCCTCAAGCCACTGCCCGACGTCATCACTACCCAGCAACCGACCCCACTTGATAGGTTCCGCTTCCACCAGGTAAAAACCTATTACACGAACCTACAGGGCAAAGACCACATTCACAGACAACTGACTGACTTCGAACGGCTATGCACAGACAGGAAACATTTAGAACACGCGGTATCCTACCTCTACACAAGCCTACAGTCACTGGGCAATGACAGCCCACTCGGGTTTACGGAAAAATGGGAACGTGAGACGGGCACGCACTTGACTACCCAAGAATGGGAGAAAATCTTTCTTTTAACAAACAAATGCTCCATAAGCTCCAAATACCAAGAGATGAGCTATAAATTACTCAGACAATGGTATAGGACCCCGGAGGTTCTAAGACATATGCACGACACAGACTCTGGAGAATGCTGGAGATGTAATTCCGCCCCAGGCTCCAACCTCCATATCTGGTGGTCATGACCCCGCATAGTCCCGTACTGGAAACTGATACACACAAAGATTAAGGAAATCACGGACTCAGACCTCCCACTACAACCACTGCCAATGCTCCTCCACCACACAGCCACTCCTACACAACAATACAAAAAATCCCTTACGATACACCTGCTCTCCGCCGAAAAAAGCCTCATTCCACTACACTGGAAAAGCCAAACAGTACCCACCTACACACAGTGGGTGGATAAGGTGGAGGAAATCCATGATATGGAAACGATGACTGCATCCCTGCAGGAGCGCTCGGACAAATGTGCCCTCCTCTGGTACCCCTGGACTACCTACACGGCACGGAGACGGGCTTGACCCCCAAACTCGCTCCTCCAAGTGATCCCTGATATACCCATTGTCAATCCCACCCCAACACCACTGTTAGATCCTCGACTCTGACTCCCCCCCCCCTTCCCCCTTGTCTGTGCCATGCCAAGACCAGACATCACCAGAGCTCTGACAGCCCACTGGACTGAGAATTCAAAAAACGATAACTTATGTAGCTCTCGCCCTCTCCCTCTAAGCAAGGCGCTCACCCACCAAAAATACCGGAGTATAACCACAAGCCCCTGAATAACATGAACCCACCTAAATTACAAGTGGCACACCTGCGCTGCATCCTATGCCCCCGACTGAGAAACGCCTAGGCGGACACACCGCAAGTTAAAGATGCATTGACCTTGGGAAACACACCGACTGTAGCCCTGATCCACTAACAGAACCAACGCTCTATAAAGGTTTATGTCACGCATTGTAACTTGATCATGGTCAACCCCCTTCCCTCCCCCACCCTTTTTTCTTTTTTCTGTCTCCCATCCTGACTTGAAAAACTCAATAAATAAAGAATGTCAAAAAAAAAAAAAAAAAAAGAGTTAAAGGGGAATGGAAATACTAAGGACAAAGGGAGAAAGCAGAACCTATAAACGAGATTACAGGTAAGTATAATGAGGGTTATAAAATAAAGAGTTTAGGCAATATGCCCCAGACAGGTTAAATAAATAACAGGAAAACCTATAGGTGGAATTATAGATATAAAGAAGATGGAAAACCTATAAGCAGAATTATAGGTATAAAGAAGGAGAACCTATAGCAGAATTATAGTTAAAGAAGAAGGAGAACCTATAAGAAATTATAGGTATAAAGAAGAAGGAGAACCTATAAGTGGAATTATAGGTATAAAGAAGAAGGAGAACCTATAAGCGGAATTATAGGTATAAAGAAGGAGAACCTATAAGCGGAATTATAGGTATAAAGAAGAAGGAGAACCTATAAGCGGAATTATAGGTATAAAGAAGAAGGAGAACCTATAAGCGGAATTATAGGTATAAAGAAGAAGGAGAACCTATAAGCGGAATTATAGGTATAAAGAAGAAGGAGAACCTATAAGCGGAATTATAGGTATAAAGAAGAAGGAGAACCTATAAGCAGAATTATAGGTATAAAGAAGAAGGAGAACCTATAAGCGGAATTATAGGTATAAAGAAGAAGGAGAACCTATAAACAGAATTATAGGTATAAAGAAGAAGGAGAACCTATAAATGGAATTATAGGTATAAAGAAGAAGGAGAACCTATAAGGGGAATTATAGGTATAAAGAAGAAGGAGAACCTATAAATGGAATTATAGGTATAAAGAAGAAGGAGAACCTATAAATGGAATTATAGGTATAAAGAAGAACGAGAACCTATAAGGGGAATTATAGATATAAA